AGGAAGACCAAGACTCTGAACATGTTGACTCCCAACATCTCTTACACAAAAATGGGAAAAAGAAATCTTATGTTTCCTACAGACTCTGAACTAATTTCAGGGATAGTAATATTTTTGACTGTTCACTATGGAACTCTTGCCAAATACTAAAGAGGTTAACAAACCCTCAAAAGAAGAGAGAAACAAGTCAGGAGTAAACAGCCAGCAGGTAGGACACAGCTGCCACAGGCCCTGCAGCTACTTAGGGAGTCTCTGTCTGGATGAGAAAAATAACCCTTCGCTCCACCCTGCACCTTCCCTCCCTAGCTTCCTGAACCTCAGCAAGGCACCACAGAGCCTTGGTGCTGATCTAACCCCTCAGGTAAGTGTGTGCAATAAACAACCGGGACTGAGGCTGGGGAGATAAGTCAGTTGGTGAAATGTTTGCTGTGCAAGCATGAAGACCTAAGTCCAATCTTCAGAACCCAGGAAAAAGAAAAGCTGGATGTGGTGGTGTGCTTGCAATCTATCACTGGGGAAGTACAGACATGTGGAGCCTGATTCTGGCTGACCAGCTTACTCGGTGAGCTCCAGCCCAACGAGAGACTTTCAAATAACAATGAAGATGCTTGGCATGGTGGGCATGCCTTTAGAATCCCAGTATCTGGAAGGCAGAGGCAGACGGATCTCTATGATTTTGAAGCCAGACTGGTCTACACAATGAAACCCTACCTTAAACACTAACAAACAAACAAACACCACCAAAGCAAAACAAACAAGAAGTTCCTGAGGTTGACCTCCTGGTCTCTACATGCACACATATGTGCAAATTACTCCTACAACATGAGGTCTTGCTGGGGGCAGAGCAGTGACATCTCCTGAGCTACCAGGCCCCGGGCTCTTCCCACACTAGAGTTACTGTGCCTTGTGAAACAAGGCTCAGGTGCAGACACCAGGGCTGCGCACAACAGTAGATGGGTCAGTCGGTGTGACTCTTCTATGGATGTACTTGTCCCACCACGGCCTCTGATGTTTCAGGACCAGGGTGGGCTCAGACTTCACTGGCAGCTCTCTGGCAAGCCTTTCCTGCCCTCTTTTCTCCCACCAAGTGTGCTAGCCTATGTGTGCAAGTGGATACGCCTATCAAATTAGCTTTGTACTTGTACACCCCCCCAGGACTCAAGAGGTTACATGGAACAGGAAAGGTCTGGGATTTAGACAAAGACCTAGATTCTGATCTCTCTGCCCCCCAGGTATTAGGTGGTATGCTGGATAGCTTTAGTGTCACCCTGACACACCTGGGTTGAGGGAGCCTCAGTTAGGGAATTGCCTCCATTGGGCTGGCCTGTGACCGTGTCTGTGGGACATCTTCTAGATTGTGTGATGTGGGAGAGTCCAGCCCTCTGTGGTGGTGCCATCCCTGGGCAGGTGGGCCTGTGTTGCGTAAGAACACAGGCTGTGCAGGGACCAGGTGAGCAAGCCAGTAAGCAGCATTCCTCCATGGCCTGTGCTCCAGCTCCTGCCTCCAGGTTCCTGCCCTGAGTTCCTACCCTGGGCTCCCTGATGAACTGTGACCCAGGAGATGTAAGATAAAATAAACACTTTCCTCCCCACGTTGGTATTGGTTAGAATATTTTGTCACAGCAATGAAAATCAAACTAGAACAGGTGGTAGCACTGAGTCTTGGCTGTTGTATCTGCTGAAGAAGGGCGAAGCCTTCTGTGTGGAGGGTCTAGGGATTGAAGTAGCAGGCAGGGAGGTGCGAGTTTGAGCGGCTGGCAGCGGCCTGCGAGTGCCATCTACTAATGCTGCTGGCAGCAGCTGCTCTGCAGGAAATACCAACTCCCAATCCCACTGCAACTGTGAGGGCCTTCTGTGTCAAAAATAGATATTTAAAAGCTTCTCAACCATGTGTCATATGTATGCATGCAGCAAAGAGGTTCAGAGCTGACTCACCACATTGCACAAGTGAGTGACCAAAACTACTCCCCAACAGATCTGAAACTCACATGACAAACTTATTTATCCCAAGCCATGTTTTTTGCAGATGGTGCCAATATTCACAAGCATCAATACAACCAAGTTACACTGTAAAATGCTCTCTTCTCTGAGTTCACCTCCAGCTCAGTAACAAGATTCTAAACAGAAGCTTCATGGGCTACCTTCCTTGCAGACGTCAAGGCACAACCCACTGACCTATCTCCCCTCCTGTGACTCGTGTTCAAGACAAAAGGCTGCAGGTCAGAAGAATATTCACTCATGGGGATACTGCCATCCTGAGCTGGCTGTGTCTGAGATGAGAACACCATACCTAACAACATGAGGGGCCTGCATCCACTGAGGTCTGCACTTGAATACAGCCAAAGGGCCCCCAACCTTGCTTAGCACCATGCTTCCTGCCGCCCAGCTGCCCAGCAGTGTACATGCCCCCACACTTTCTCTTTTTCTTCTGCCTACGCCAAGAAAATATGATGGTTTAATCCTGAAGGTGGTTTTCCTGCATTTTGGAGTATGGGGACTCTAGAAGAGAGAGGTGTATTTATCTGCTTCTGCTAACACTTGGGGGAAAATGTTTCAATCTATAGGCTGAGCAACTCAAGAATGAAGGCAAAATGATCAATCGCCAGCAGCTCAGACCCAGATCAAACTGGATATCTGCTCTGAGGTTGGGAAGCTCCTAGTAGCTCTACTGTGTCTGCATTCTATGCACAGGTTCAGACAGAAAAGAACAGCCAGGAATCCACACACTGAGGCTTCAAGGAGGCACTTCCTGTGGTGGAAGCTACACTCAGGAAACAGGGACAGGGACGACTACACTTTGTTCAGATGCAGCAAAGTTGGGGAGATACCTGATCCTTTTCAAAGGAGAGTCAAACTGTCTGGAAGATGCACCTGATGATCAAAAATCAAAAGCAGCCAAACTGTAGTTAGAACACCCACAAGCCAGAGTCCTAACACTTGATTAGAGGTTTCTGAAGAGTAAACACTTAAGTCTATATTGCATCCAGAAAATAGAAAGATGGGGTGGGGCTGGAGAGATGGCTCAGCGGTTAAGAGCACTCACTGCTCTTACAGAGGACCTGGGTTCAATTCCCAACACCCACATGGCAGCTAAGAACTGTCCTTAACTCTAGTTCCAGGGGAATCTGACACCCTCTTCTGACCTCTGCAGCACTGCACGACACAGGTGCATTCACATACATGCAGGCAATACACTTGTACACATAAAATAAAAATTATTTATATATATGAAAGATAGGGGTGGGTGACATGGCTCAGCTGGAAAAGGCATGTGCTGCCAAACCTGACCACCTGAGATCCATCCCCGAACGTACATGATGGAAAAAGAGCACTGACTCCCACAGGCAAGGTGTTCTCTGACCTCCACACATGCACTGTGGAGTGCATGCCCACACTCACATTCACACAAATAAATAAATGTAATAAAATTTAAGTGGAAAGCTAAACATATAAATGGTTACTAATAGATTAGCAGTATTGATTTTAACTATGATCACATAATACTTTTCGAATGAAAGTTATAAGATCTGAATTAATTTTCAAGTAGGCTTGTTGATGCACACATCAGTCAGTCTCAGATTCTGAGGTCCTGTCATTTATCTTACAGCTTCCCACAGAAATGTGTGCAACTTCAGAACTAGAACAATTTATCAATTTGCCAAACTTTGTTTCTTTTTATCTAATTACAAGATCATTAATTTTTATAATCATACTAAAAAAACTGGAATAAAAATTCCAGTGACTCAAGGAAAAGTAGTTTTAGACAATTAAGCAAAATGATTATACGTGTATCATTACAGCAACTATGAGGTATGATTTGAGCCTAGGGAGGATCATCTTCAAGGCAAACCTTTGCATTGCCAGTGCATTTCATGGAGGATAGCCTTGGGGCTCTGGAAAATTCTTTATGTGTGGGCTACACTTCACAAAGCAAGAAAGGCTTCATTTTGTTTCTCTCAACTAATAGTATCCGATACTGAAGTCACTGGAACTTTCAGGTGCAAAGTAGCAGAGCCTGAGACCATCCAGACTTGCATGTCAAACTCACCTGATCTATCTACATTTAGTTTCATACTAATATCTGATTTCTCTGGAAAACTATCTCTACAGGGACTTAAATTGTCTTAGAGTGCAATCTGGACCACGTGTGACAAGAAAACACATTTGTAAAGTATTCAGATCTCACTATAGAAGTTTCAAAACTAATATTTAAGGGTTAGGAAAGTGGCTCAGTTGGTAGAGTACTTTCCTAGCATGAACAAAGCCCTGGGATCAAGCCCCCAAACCGAATAAACGGTATGGTAGTACACAGTTGTAGTTTTAGCACTTGGGATGTGGAGGTAGGAGGATCAGGAGTTCTAGATCATCCTCAGGTACATAAAATAAATGACTTTAAGGCCAGCTTAGGCTACATAAGACTCTTTCTCAAAAAACAAAATTAAAACCAAATTTTTAAAAGGAAAACATTTCCAGCTGGGCATGGTAGAAAGTCCACACACTTCACCATCTGAAATGTGAAGTTTGCAGGGTCAGATACATAGGCCACCATGGCCTGATTTTGAAGGATGCTGAGTACCAGGAAATAAAGCCAAGAAACACAGGGAGAGAGGTAGGTGGGGGTCAAGACTTCCGGTGCTGAAAAAGGGAGAGTGGGAAGTAGCCTGACCTCTAGGAAGGGGAGCACTGAGCCTCTGGGAGTGAGGACAGATGCTGGGGCTGGGAGGACGGGCAGTCACTTGGCACAGGCCAAAGGAGGAAGGAATGACTTTCAAAGCCCTTCAAGTTGTATGTCGGTCACACACATCATTTCCTAAAACCTTCCCTTCAATTCTGTGGAAGAGAGGAGAGAGGAGCAAGAAGACTTGCCAGTCAGTAAACCTCACGGAGCCCTGGGGCAGGTGTCTCTGAGTCACTGCCTATGTGGACAAAGGTCAGCAACAGGAATCACATGGCATTTGCCTGAAGTAAATCCTTTTCATACCATCCTGCTGTGCCTGAAATTGTCCAGCTTTCTTGGATCTAGGAACTGTCCTACAGTCAGAAACAAGTGATGATGCTCTACATGGGAGAATGGTCAATCTGGAATCAACCGTGGCTTCCCCTGCTGACCAGCACAGTCAGGTGCCCTGTGCCTGCCTGCACCAACCCCATCTGCTAGAGGCCTGTATTTGCAGGAATGCTACCTCAGACTTCTGGGCCAGGCCAGGTAAAATCCTGCTCTCTTTTTTTCTCTCTTTTCTTGAGATAGGATTTTGGGGCAACCTCCTCGTCCTCCTGCCTCTATTTTCCAAGTGCTAGGATTATTAGTGTACATGAAAGTGCCTGGTTTATGCAGTGCTGGGGCTCAAACTCAGGGCCTTGTGCATGCTTGGCAAGTCTACCGACTAAGTCACAATCCCAGTCTTTTAAAACTTCAGCAGGGAGCAAGACTTACCAACGCCTCATGGGTAACTCTCAAGTATGTTCCCCTCCTCCCTGCTCCAGAGGCCTACGGTAGATGAGAGTCAGGCTCCTAATAGTCCCCAGTTAAGAAGCTTATTTTGTAAACACGACAGAGGATAGAAAAAGAATAAATGTTAAAAATCAGCACAGCACCACACACTGTCTCTGTCTTTTGAGCCAGGACCTTACACTGTAGCTCAGGCTGGTCTTGAACTTGTGATCCTCCTGCCTCAGTCTCGAGTGTTGGGATTGTGTGGAATGTGTCTTGATTTCTATAAGCAACCTGGATGTTAATGCCTACAGCTGGGCTGACCCCATTCAGGAAATATAAAGTAAATCATATAGAAATAGTGAAGGCGGGGCTGGAGAGATGGCTCAGTGGTTAAGAGAACTGACTGTTCTTGCGGAAGACCCAGGTTTGAATCCCAGCATGCACATAGTGGGTAACAACTGTCTGTAACTCCAGTTCCAGGGGATCCGATGCTCTCGTCTATCCTCCATGTGCACTGCACAACACGGTGCACTTACGCACATGTAGGCATAACAACACTCATACACATAAAAATAAAAATAAGTAAAAATTTAAAATTAGAAAAAAAATAGTAAAGGGGCAGTGCAAGCATTTATAGAGTCAGAACAAGTGCCCTTCCTCGGATGGAGGGTCAGATCACCTCAGGCAGGAACACCATTGATAAGGATTCATGTAGTATACAGCAGGCTACATAAATGAGGCTGTGAGTGAAGAGTTATAGGCATATGCCACTCTTTTCTTTCACCAAGATGTTTTTATCTTCACTTTTACAAAGCCCCAAAATATAGACTATAAACAGAGAGTAAACTGGAAATTCCTAATTCCTATGAGCCAAGAGCTTAATATTAAGTCTTTGAGAATTCCCATACAGTGTGTGTGTGTGTGTGTGTGTGTGTGTATATATATACATATATATATATATATATATATTTATTTATTTATTTATTTATTCTTGGTCTTTTTGAGACAGGGTCTCCGTGTAGCCCCAGCTGTCCTGGAACTTGCTATGTGGACCAGGCTGGCCGTGAACTCACAGTGATCCGCCTCCCGAATGCCGGGATTAAAGGCAAGCGCCACCACGCCCGGCTCCCATACAGTATATTTTGACCATATTCATTTCCCACTCTTCCTCCTAACTCCTCCAAGATCCACAGCCCCATCCTCCCAACTTACTTTCCTTTTTTCCCCCTAATAACCAACTGAGCCCAATTTGTGCTGACCATTGGTATGGGGCAATTGACTGGAGTGTGGCCAACCTACTAGAGGTCACGTCCTTTAAAAAAAAACAAAAAAAAAAAACAAAGCCAGGCGTGGTGGTGCACGCCTTTAATCCCAGCACTTGGGAGGCAGAGGCAGGTGGATCTCTGTGAGTTCAAGACCACCCTGGTCTACATAGTGAGTTCCAGGACAGCTGGGGCTACAGGGAGACCCTGTCTCAAAAAGAGACCAACAAAACAAAACAAAACAAAACTGTTCCTCCTTCCCTCAGATGCCAGGAGGGTTTTATTTTACAATTTTCAATCCTTACTCTGTAGAAATGATTTTTACAATATGGACATAATCTACTCATGACCTTTACCTAACATTGCAACCAAAAAGTTAGAAGGTAAACAGGCTCACTGAGCCATGTGCTCCTCTTGTGACCTGGGCATCTGACCTTAATCCCTCAGGACCCCACCTTGCCCTCCAACCAAGGTAGTGAATAAATGTGGGTGTGCATGATTGATATATCAAAGTGCTCATGCTTTTCTTATTGAAAACAGTGAGAAAAACTGTGATCTGTCTGAAACTCTGTGTGTGTGTGTGTGTGTGTGTGTGTGTGTGTGTGTGTGTGTGTGTGATATTCTAGGCCTAGGGATCAAAGGACAAGATTCTCTCATAGGTAAGGGTGGGCCCTAGCTTCCAGTTCCCCAATTTATGCTGGAGATATGGTTACAATAAAAGAATGAGTGAAACCCGACTCCAGAGCAAAATTCAGAGAGACGTTTGAAGGAGTGGTTGCTCTTGTCCTTAAAACTAATGCTAAGAGTCAGGCTGTTTCTTTATTCAGGAGTAACCGTAATGTGGTTTAGAAATGCTGTATCTGTTAAACAAAGATAACCAGTATGATTATAGCTTTAAAGGTCTTATTAATTCCCTCTAGACTGGACACTGAAGTTTTATAGGAAACTTAAAATGGCTGATGTATTTATTAGGTTTTTTTTTGTTGTTGTTTTTATTTTTGACTATGCAGCCAACCTGTCCTCAAACTCACAGCAATCCTCCTGCCTCAGTCTCCGGAGTTCTGGGATTACACCTAATTAAAAAAAAATTTTGGAGTATCTTCTGCCCTCTTCAAAAACATAAGTTTTGTGTCAAAAGATGCTGTTATCTAATGTTGTAAGAAAGAAAAAAGTAAAAACCTCTCTTTGCAAAAAAATGCACTGGGATTGTCATGTGAGGAGCACACTTGATTCTCCATCGCATGAAACCACTGAAAGCATGTTTGCCTATTGATAAATACGCTGCTTTCAGCCATAAATCAGCAGAGCTGCACTTTGGGAACATAATCGTGAACACATGATTTACTTTTACTCTTTTGTGTATCTTCTAAAAAACTCTGTCATAGATAGAGTCAAATCAGGAATAATGACCCATTCTTTAAAGTGCAAATAATAGCATTAATGAAGTATTTGAGTAAAGAAAAATAACTTAGGAAAAGTGTGGGGCCTATGTAAAGATCCTGCAGGTTCTAGGATGTGGGAGGCAGAACAGCCGCAGAGAGGTGTTGTGTGCTGTATTGCTTCAGTTGTTTGGATGGTGACTTTTCTAATGCTAAGGATGGCTTTCCTCTGTCTTCCACTGGCAAGCAGCACAATAGGGGGATGCCAGGCCCTTAAACACGATCTGTTACACCCACGGCAAGGCCTCACATATTGGCATTACCTGATTCCTGTGAGTTTTGCTTGCCTTATGGGAGACCAGGGAATCCAGGGAAGAGCAGTGATGGTGATGGCTGTGTGTGTGTGTGTGTGTGTGTGTGTGTGTGTGTGTGTGTGTGTGTGTGTTCTGGGGAACTGAACTCAATTCATGTTTATAAAAAAGCCAGGTGTGGTGGCCTGTGCTTGCTATCCCAGCACTTAGGAGGCAGAGACAGGGAATCCCTGGGGCTCACTGGCTAACTAGCTTAGCCTACTTGGCAAGCTCCAGGCCAATGAGAGACCCTGTGTCAGAAAGGGTGGATGGTTCTTGATAAATGACTCCTGGGGTTGTTCTCTGGCCTCCACATGCATGTGTGCACACCTACACACACGAGTGCTTTCTCACAAAAATAATGATAATGGTGATAAAGGTAGTTCTTGCTTCCTCACTGAATACAGGATGTCTGCATTCTCTATAAACACACATTAGAATTTCCTCAATAACTTAGATGTCTCAAGCTCTTTCATTATAGAAATGTAGGTGTGTGTGTATACATACATGTGGATAAAAGGGAAAGTAATATTTGAGTATGACTTGAAGAAACCTAAATTTTCACATAGGACATTCTGACCAAGAAAAACAAGTGAAACCATGTATGATTTAATCTTGTTTCTACATCAGCCAAAGGGGGCAGGGATGACTTCAGTTTTTCTTCTTCAATAACTTAAGAATCTCTTATTTCTTAAAATTCTATTTCTTGGGTCAAAAGGCTAAGAACTTATAAGAGCACTAATTTTTCTAGTGAGAAATAAACCTCATTTCATAGGAAGCATTTTCTTATCAAAAGTCTAACAATATTTAGTTAGAAATGGGGTGGGATTGACATGCAGATGTCACCAGAGGCAGGAGTGGGCTGTAGGAGAGCCAGGAAGTGCTCTGAGCAGGTAAGCAGTGCCGATTCTGTTCTTTTGTTAGATAACCGATATAATGGTAACTATCAATGTGAAGTCGGGGAGAGAACATCAGCATCACTTATAAAAAGGGGAGATACTCTTCATTTCAGATGTCCTAACAAAAACAGAGAAACCAGAGTGAGAGACAAAGGTGGAAACCTTGATGCCGGTGCTGAGGATGTGGAGTTGGAAAAGTGCTTGCCTCACAAGCATGAAGCCCTGCATTCTATCCCCAGAAGCCCATAAACCAGGTGTGGTGGAAGCAGGAGGATCAAGGTCATTCTTAGCTACATAGTGAGTTTGAGGTTAGGTGGGGATATAGGAGAACCCATATCAACAAAAACAAAACAAAACCTGGTTCTATTAACACTCCCTATGGAGTCTTGCTTGAATCACTTCCCTGAATATTCTGAGACTGAAGACTGGTACCAGAGGGGACCCACCTCAGGCATGCTGCGGAAATTAAATGAGAAAATTCATGCAAATTGTTGCAAGAGAAAGCATTTAATAAATATTAGCTATTATTAGTTGTCATTAACATTATTATTTTTATCACAGAGTTGTGGTGATTTTAAAACTGCACCAGTATAAGATATTTATGGGTAGAAATCCAAAATAGGTTTATGAATATCCTCCACATGGAAATTCCATCCTTAGTTACTAAAAATTCCTATTTTGTAGAAATTAGATTCACTCAACTTCCAACATTTTTTGGCAGGGGTGGGGGGGGTGGGTAAACTTAGCCATATATTGCAAGGGTAGGGAGATTTCCCAGAATTCATATCAGATGTGAACACTGGCATGTTATGGTGTTTGTGCAGTATGTCAAATCCAAATCCAGTATTAAGGATCTCCCAGAACAGACACAGAGATATATCT